GCGGAGCTTTGCCGGCAAAAAGCGCCAGTCTAGACGGGGATCTTTCGGAAAATAAAGCCTTTTCCGAAAGATCCCTTATTCCTTTTTTTTTGTTTGTTTTTTTTTTTTGTTTAGAGGAATAAAGGATCTTTTGGAAAAGGCTTTATTTTTCGAAAGATCCCCGTCTAGACTGGTGCTTTTTGCCAGCAAAGCTCCGAGCCGGAAAAAAGCGGCAGCCATGTTTATGCAAATGAAGTGGGGGGGGTTTAAATCCCCACTTCATTTGCAATTGCGATGTGTCTAATTTGCATCCCTTTTACGGAAAAGGGATGCAGTCTAGACACAGCCCTTCAGGAGAATTGATAGTTCAGCTTTTCAGAACAAAAGTTGCAACTCTTATTCAACCCCCTGCTGCCAGGAGCTGGGCATTTGAGAGAGGCCATGTAATAGACTCACAGATCCCTTAACATCAGTCAGAGACAGCATGTATTTTTCTCACTCTAATACATCTCCAGTTTTCCCCAATATCCCCTCTGGGGAGCAGGAGCTGGAGCTCCCCATGCAGATGGTCTCTGAAGGGATCTTGCCTCATCCCTTTGCTTGCTCCAAACAGGGCTAGGAGTCCCTGATCCAGATGCAGAAGGAACCGGGGGAGGAGTCCACTCTTCTGGATCCTCAGGGCTCGGAGGAAATGGAGGCTGGAGTAGGTGAGTGACTGGGTCAGTCTATTCGGAAGCTACCAATGAGTGAGGCATAATATAGAGCTTAAAAAGGAGGGATTGGAATCTAGTGGATAGGGCATTGGGCTGGGAGCCTGGACTCCTGGGTTCTAGCCTGGCTCTGGGAAGGGAGTGTGATCTGAGGTTGTGTGGAGCCAAAATGTTTGAATTCTATCCCCAGCTTTGACCTTGGGCAAGTCCCTTTCCTTCCTGATGCCTCTGTTTAACCCTGCACCCTTCTGTCTATTTAGATTGTGAGCTCTTTGGGCCAAGAACTTTCTTTCACTGTGTATCTGTGCAGTGTCCAACAATGCCAATGTTGGGAGCCTGTCGTGCATTTGTGTGTGTCTGTGCCTCTGCGGTGCACAGTGCAACAGGCTCTTGTGATCTTGCGTGGGGGCAGGTTGCTCCGTAAAATAGGGCCTTGATCTCTGACTGGTCACTATTTCTGCCCTGTTGCCTACCATCCTACCCCAGAGCTCTTTCCTATATCAATGCTCACCTGCATTCTGCTGTCTTCCAGCAGACGACTGTGCCGCCTGCCTCTTGAAGGAAGAGGATTCCGAGCTGGAAGACCCGGAGATGGTGCCATCCCACAAGATGCAGCCAGGGGTCTCCAAGGGCGACATCTCACCTGGCTCCCAATGGGACATGGCTGGCCAAAGCCCAGCCACTGGAGCAAAGGTGCTGGATGACTCTGGTGATCTAGAACAGGGGCTGGAGGGGTTTGGTGATATCATTGTGCACCGGGTGACACAGATGGGTGTGAAGCCTTGCCGCTACATTGAGGGGGGGCGCAGCTACGAGCTGAGTCCTGGGCTGGCCCGCCGGCTTCTGCGGCTGGACGAGAAGCTGTACGAGGGCCCTGAATGGGGCAAGAGCTTCAACCAGAGCTCCAATGAGTCTGAGTGGGGGAGAGGGGTCGGTGGGGCACTGGCGCAAAGGTGCTGGATGACTCTGGTGATCTAGAACAGGGGCTGGAGGGGTTTGGTGATATCATTGTGCACCGGGTGACACAGATGGGTGTGAAGCCTTGCCGCTACATTGAGGGGGGGCGCAGCTACGAGCTGAGTCCTGGGCTGGCCCGCCGGCTTCTGCGGCTGGACGAGAAGCTGTACGAGTGCCCTGAATGTGGCACGCAAAGGTGCTGGATGACTCTGGTGATCTAGAACAGGGGCTGGAGGGGTTTGGTGATATCATTGTGCACCGGGTGACACAGATGGGTGTGAAGCCTTGCCGCTACATTGAGGGGGGGCGCAGCTACGAGCTGAGTCCTGGGCTGGCCCGCCGGCTTCTGCGGCTGGACGAGAAGCTGTACGAGTGCCCTGAATGTGGCAAGAGCTTCAACCAGAGCTCCAATCTGCACCGGCACCAGCGCACGCACACTGGTGAGCGCCCCCACCCCTGCCCA